AGGAGAATGTTATCTGTCTTGCTAGCCAGCACCTAGGATAGTGCCTGGCACACAGAATTTCCTCAGGAATAGCGGTTGGGTGGATGAATACATGAGTAAGTGCATCTATGTTTTCACTGGGACTTGGAGCCGGCCCAGGCAGCCTATCTGTGAGAGTGACTTGGCAACAATAGCCCTGATTGTTGTCAACTTCTACCGTGTCTTCGAATGTGAATGTGGGAAATGACAACAAGCCTGATTCCCCCTATTCTTGGCTTGATTTTCTTCTGGATTTTCCAACTGCCTGCTCTCCACTCACGATGCAGAGGAATAAAGACTGGGGTTCATTATGTCTTCACAGGCCTGTCAGCTTAAACTAGACGTGCATTTCTCATCCTTTCCTTCACTGAGCTGTTAATCTGGGCGCTTCACGGAATTGTTCCATTCCAGGGAGGGCAGAGGTGATTTTCTGCATGCGTGGCCCATGGATTAAGGTTCTTTGGGGGCCCTGGAAACCTTTTCTTTTTTCCCCTTCCATTTTAAAAAATTTCTCTCTTAAAAATTCATTCAATAACAATTTATTGAGCCCTACAAAGTGGCTGGCACCATGCTAGGCACTGGGAAGCAATACAAAAAAATAAATAAAACATACTAACTGCCCTCAAGCAGCACACAGTCTGTTAGGCAAACAGTGACTGTAAGGCAATGTGAGCAATTGTGTTGGAGGAGCTTGTGAAGAATAGTATGTTGGCCCAGGAGAAGGAATCAACATCACCTGACAGGAAGAGTCAGAAAAGGCCTCAAAAAGGTGGTGACAAAGGTGTAGTCTTGAGGCATGAGTAGAAATCGCAAACTGAAGAGGGGTGAAGGGTTCTCAGGCAGAGGGGAAAGCATGTGGAAAGGTTCCAAGCAATATTCCATGTAGTGGAAATCAATGAGGCATGCCTGTTGAGTAGTGGGCACATGGAAACATCAGGCAAGCTGCATGCCTGCTATAAAGATGCTTATTCGCCATGCCTTTGTAAATCTAAGCTTTTGTCTATGGACAGTAGGTATTCATAGCACACAGTGAGCAGAGTGACATGCTTGAAAAGACAATTTTAGCAGCTGTATTGAAGGTGGTTTAGACAAGGAAGGAGTAGAGAGGCCTTTTGCAGCTTTTTGGGAGAGATGGGTTTAACAGATATTTAGGAGGAAGTGATACTTTAACAAAAAAAGGAGGAGGGCGTGGATCAGGGAGTAAGCTACGAACAGGTCCTCATCTGTCATCCAAGTGAAGATGCCCAGGAGGGAGGCAGAGCTGTGTAACTGGGGCTCTAAGAAAGGGTGACATCTGAGGAATGGATCCAGGAGTCAACGGGGATCCAATGGCATTTAAAGCTAAGAGAGTGGGAAGGTCATCAGGAAAGGCCTTCAGCGTCAGGCCCCATGGTAACGGTTACATTGCATGGAGGATGAGCACTGGGTGTTGATGAGTTTCATCTCTTCAGGTCAGGGCTCTGTGGAGCCCTAAAAGATGTTTCAAGAATTCTGGGAATCCCTGGCATTTTATGCAAAAATGTGTTAAAATGTAGCTTTTTGTGAGAATAGAAACTATAGCTTTTACCAATTTCTCTTAGGGGTCTGAGTCACTAAAGGGTTAAAGTCCACTGTGCTTCAATAAATATTTTATATGTGCCCATGATACTTAGGACTCGAACTGAATTAAAGAGAGGCTTGGTTCAGGCTGGAAAATAAGTTCTGTTCTGTTCGGATCAAATTTCCATAAAAGTGTAGTTCACATTAAAAGTATGTTTGCTCCTATAACAAAAGTGGAGGATTGAACTAATTGTCTACATGGTTTAAAATTTATTACCTTTTCTTTCTGAATGAGAATCTATTCCAGGAATTCTCAAATTACCCTCTCTTTAGATCATTCTACGCACCATCATGATTACATACTACCTCTGGTTTTGTTTCATATTTTGAAATTGGTCCAAATTTCTCACTTGACCATTACAACACATAGTCAAGCCTGTCTCCTTAATAGCCTTCTCCACGTAAAAGAGCTTTCATTGAAGGTTATACGCTTAATAGAATCTGACTGCAGCATAAAATTTGCCAATTCTTTTCTGCATGAAAGGACACTTTGCAGAAAGTGAAAAGACAATGATGGAATGAGAAAAAATATTTACAAATCATTCACTTATCCGATAAGGACCCAGTAACCCTAATATACAAAGAACTCTAACAACTCAACAATAAAAAGATAAATAACCCCATTTACAAGTGGGCAAAGGATTTGAATGAACATTTCTCCAAAGAAGATTCATATATAATCAATAAGGACATGGAAAAAAAAATGGTCAAAATCATTAGTCGTTAGAAAAAGAAGATCAAAATAACAACGAGATACCACTTCACACTCAGAGGGTGGCTAGAATTAAAAGCAAACCAACAGAAAATAACAAGTGTTGGTAAAGATATGGAGAAAATGGAACCTTCACACATTACTGATGGAGATATAAAATGGTGGTGCCATGTGGACACAGGTTTGGCAATTGTTCAGAAAGTTAAAGACAGAGTCACCATATGAAATTTTACACATGGCTCTTTACTCAGGAGAACTGAAAACTGGTTTCCTTGTTCACAAAAGAAACTTGCACACACGTATTTATAGTAGCATTATTTATAAAAGCCAAAAAGTAGAAACACCCCAAGTGCCCACCAACCGATGTAAAGTTAAACAAAATGTGGGTTATTCTTATAATAGAAATATTACTCCTCTATAAAAAAAAAAAAAAGAATAAAGTGCTGAACAAGGAGGATGAACCTCGAAAGAAACCAGACGTGGAAATCCGCATATTGCATGATTCCATTTATAAGAAAAGTCCACAACAGACTGACCCGGGGAGACAGAAAGTAGGTCAGAGGTTGCCAGTGGGTGGGGAAGAAGGGGAATCGGGAGGTATGAGGCTTCTTTTTTGAATGATGGGAATGGGCTCGAATAGATAGTGGTGGTGGTTGCACAACATTCAGTGGATGCACGAAAAGCCACTGAACTGCACTCTTTAAAATAGTTAAAATGGTGATTGATACGTTATGTGAATTTTACCTCATTAAAAACTACAAAAAACAAACAAACCCACAAACCCAATTGCCTTTAATTCTACCCCAGAAATAAGACAATCGTAGAATCCGCAAACTTTTTATAACGATCACTTCCGTTGTCTTTGCAAAAGTCAAATATTTTCACATAAGACAAAATATTTCCTCATTTCAAGACCAGCAATACCTACTGTAACCCTGTTTAAAACTCAAGCACATTGAAAATCTCACTCAGTAAATGACTAAGGAAGTAGAGGAAATAATCAGCACGCTCAGTGAGTACAATCCTACAATTGGGGACAAATAAAAAGACACAGCATCCTAGTAAGAGCTCTTTAACTTTTTACGGGTATAAGAATCCACAGTGTCAGCTACTGTCCCTGCCTCTGTGTCTTCAGCTACTGTCCCTGCCTCTGCGTCTTCCAGAAGTGAAAGCTGAGCTTTGGTCATCGATGCACTTCAGATTTCTTTTGAATTTCACACATTATTTTGGACTGAAATGATATGTCTCCATTATAATAAGTTTCCATAACAGTGTGTACCACTGACTTTCCTATGCATGATGTTCCTACCTGATCCCTCAGACAGCTCCTTGTATTTCTATTTGTCTTCATAGTATACATGGAGGGAAAGGAGAGATTTAATTTAATTTTTTGAGAGGCTGGTAATAGTGTTAAATAACTAACAAAAATTGTCCAGGTCCCAGTAAGAGTGATAACCATGATGTGGTGGGGGGGGGGGGGGGGGGATTTTTTTTTCCAAGTAGTTCTCTCTGGCCTGTGTGTGCATCCCTCTCTTCCATTAACTCCTTCATGACTCGGTTCCTAAACCATAATCTGTGGGGTCTAGTGTGAAATAAATACATGCAGCCCCTTGCTCAGAAAGCACTAAGAACTTCAGAAAAAGCATCCGCAAAGCCACACACTTGGGCGCTGTACACCTCAAAAAGCCGTGGGGGGGGGGGGGTGTTAAAGAGGGGGTAAAGGGGAGCGCTCCTGGCTCCACCACCTCCTTCCTGTGGTTAGTGGTGAGTTCCTTAAACTCCCAGAACCTCATTTTCTTCACCTGAAACGTGAGGCTTATCATCCCCATCTCTCTGGCCTCGGCCAGGATTATTTTTTAAAGTCTCCAGCTCGAACACTATCACTTAACACGTTTTTAATGTTCCTGTGGGGAAGGGAGCCCCGTGCGTTTGGACGGGGCATGAGTGGCAGGAAAGCCATTTGGTGGATTAAATAAGGGTCCTTCAAAGATTAGGGAAGGGGAGGGGGGCAGCGAGGGGCTGCTCTCCCTCTCATCTCCGACCTGACACACTCTGCCTGGCGCTGTGTTTTTATTAGCTCGCAGCCCCGGTACATCAGTGGCGAGGGTGATGAAACCGGTGGCAGATTTCGCTGCCAGGCAGCTGGGCCACCGTCCCGTGGGCCTTGTTGTCATGCTGCGATCTTAAAGTGACCATGGCTGTTCGGGCTGCCGCTCTCCAAAGGACGGGGGAGAGACCACGGAATGGTTAACGGGCGGCACGGGGAAGAAAGAGGCTGTTGCTTTGCAGAGAGCACAGAGGCGCTGCTGCTTTGAGAAATCCCAGGGTGGCTGAATATCAAGAACACGGCTCCTGCTGTGGGCAGCTGTGTGTGCGAAGGGCAGCCCGAGGGCTTAAAATCAAATCTCCAGCAGGGGCTGGTGCCCGTCCCCCGGGGCCGGGGCACTGGCGGCAGAAGGCCTGAGCCCTGTGAGAGGAAGAAGCCCTCACTGCTCTCCGCCCATGAGGGACATCACTCAGTGACCTTTTTCATTGTTAGCAACCTGTGAATCCTGTGTTCCAAAACATAACCGTAATAAAATGAAAAAGAAAGGCAAGGGAGAGAAGACTCGGGAGAGAGAAAGCAGGATGACTTATTTCACAGGAAAAAAAAAAATCTGCAGGCCCTTACCTGGAACCTCCTCATGTCCCTTGGGTTTCCTGCTGTTTTCAAACAATTCTGATTGCACTTGAGGAAAAATTTTAAAAAGAATCTGCGGAAAGAAAGCAATGTGTTACATTTTTTTTTTTAAGTAAACACGTTTGAAGAGAGAATAGCCATGCGTTCTATTAGATTTGATTTGAGGGCGATTGTATTTCAGGCCTGGGGAATTTCAGCGGCCCTGCCTGCGAAGGAACGTTGCTGACCCTCTGCAATTTGCAAGTTTGGATGTTTTCCGTTGGCAAGTCAGCTCCAGCACGGTGGAGGATTGCAAAGTGGTTCCCAAGCGGGTCTCTGGCTTGTGCTCCCACTCACCCACCTCCCAAGTTACTAGGGGGCTCTCTCAAAAATAAAAAGGGGGGGGGGTTCCCCAAAGGACAATGACTCCTGCCGAGCAGAAATGTCTCTCAGCTTTCAGGTTGAAAATGGAATGACTTAGCCCAGAGTCCTAGGGTTGCTCCCTTAGGTGGCTTTCTGCTGGCCACACACACCTTCCTGCTCACAACCCCCCCTGCCCCCCCCACACACACACCCTCACACACAGAGAGGCCTGATCTCTCCAGCCAGTGTGTATACAAATCAGAAAATGTCATGTTACCACCCAAAGACAGAGTCAGTCTGCGCAGGGTACACGCTGGGGGTTTATGATTAATAACAAGAGTGAATGTCCTTTTACTCCTTATAGATGATCCAGAAAACACAAAGGCACAGAATAATGGTCCGAGGTCATCGTTCGTCAGACGTGTGCATTTTTTAAGCCAATAATCTCCTAAATGAACTACTCTGTGTAATTTTAAAACGGGGCATCTTTCATCAGAGAAGCACAGCCACCAAGAAAACATGGCAGAAGCGGCCTCTTCCGCGATTTACGTATTTAATGTTTGGAATTCTTGTTTCAAAACGCAATAAGTTTTTCATGTATTTTACTTGCAGAGTCTTTTTCCTTAAAAAAAAAAAAAAATCCAGCTCTTGCAGTGCTCAAGTCCCAGGTGAGAGAGGCCTAGTTCCCTTCCTGTTACTATGACAACGAAATTTTACCGCAGTCCCAAAGTCCCTCCAGAACTCTCACATCCATGCCTTGAATTAGAACTTTAAAGGAAAAGATATACATTTCCCCCAGAATGTACCAGCACAAACACGGAGACATCAGCCAGCGCTCCCCAAAAATCCTATTTTTAAAGCAACGGTTTGGCCAGAGGCTCTCGCGCTGACCTCGTGTTTATTGTTAATTCTCTACAAATCACACGGAAGAACGAGAGAGCGCTCCAATGGGTGGTGGTATTTCGCACTTAAAAAAAAAAAAGGAAGAAAATCTGATGGAAAAATAAAGAGTAAATGATAAAGGAGGGGATATGCACTTTTCAGAGCGCTTTGTTTTTTCCTGTGAATCTTTAATCGGGACTTGCTAAACATAATTGGTCAAGTGTTGCTGACCCCTCTCGAATGAATACGGTTGGGTGCGAATGTAGAAATAGCAGCTAAATCGTTCCCCATTATTTTATAACATCTGCTTTTCGCGTCTCCCCTGTAATCCTCTCTGGGCGGGGGTGCCCACCCGGGGCCCCGATGGCCAGGCCGAGGGAAGGAGGCTCCCCAAGCGCGCATCCTGCCTGCGCTCCCGCCCAGCGCGGCCACCCGGCTGCCGCAGCCACCGAGCGCTTTGCAGCGGGAGCTGCTTTTATTTAAGAAAAGAGGGATTCGGAGTCACACACACACTCTGTGTCGGACCGGGAAACAGTCTTCCATGTGTGCTTGTGCGTCCTCCGCAGCCCTCTGCGGGCACCGAGGCGCTGAGCCGCTCTGAGCACACCCAGGACTTGCCTTTTCCCTGCAAAGTCTCTCCGAACAATAGTCCCCACTCCTGCTCCCCATCGCCCTCCCAGGCCCCATCAGGACTTTATTTCTGGCCTCCTCTATCGCCTCCACCACCCCCCACCCTCACCCACCAAAATAAAAAATCCCCATTAGAATCCAACCAAGCGCTTTCTCTCACTACTAACTCCTTGATTTGGGGAAAGTTTTCCCACAATTGGGCTCCTTATAATGCATTCTGTGTGTGTGTGTGTGTGTGTGTGTGTGTGTGTGTGTGTGTGTGTTTCACTTCCCCTTGCCCACCCCGCCCTTCCTCCAGAACGTATCTGCGGAACGCATTAATGTTCATGAAGGCGTTATTATAGCGATGGTGTGGTGGGTGGGAAAGTGCAAAGGAGATAAATGTTTACATAAAATCAAATTGATTTAGGGAAACAAGGGGCCTGCTGAAAGGCTTTATTCATTTTTAAATGAGGACCCTTAACAGTTCTCAGCGTGGAAAACACCCGGCGTGGCCTCTTTTTTTCTCTCTGGTTTTAACCTGCACAGCCTCCTGCACAGTAAAGATACAACATTCTGTTCACAAAGGCTAAGAGAGCGGTGGAGGAGTGGGGAGCGGGGGCGGAGAGTTCTCTTACATTGTGTAGTACTTTGAAAAAGAGGCATAGTTACTTCTATTTCTAAGTGGCCAGCACCAGAAATTATGACCTGGATAGTTTACATGTGGACCTAGAAATTAATTTAAAGGAATTCTGGGGCTTACTAACATCTCCAATTTCTTTCTCTCTCTTATTTTTTATTTTGTTTATTTATTTTTGTACTGATGTCTTCCACCTGCCTCCTTGTACCCCTCCACCCATCATGCTCAAGGGCTTGGTACAGAACCCTTTCCTGACCAAACCAGCCGTTAAGCACAGGGTAATGTTCAGGGAGCAGATCCCCTGGGTCCAGATCCCTCCGAAGGCAGGGCTGCCTGCAAAATGTCAGCTCTCGCTACTTAGAAATGAGGAACCACAATGAATTTCAAGATTCAAGCCAAATGTGTGGATTCTCATCGGGATGGGAGTCATTTTCACTTTCTCCAAACAATGTTGACTACGTAAATGTGATTACCACTTAGCGTGCTACACTTCGCAGGGCCTCTGATCTGCTTCCTTAAGAGGATACACTAACAACTACAGGTTTATTCTCCTTTTATAGATAAAGAGCAACACAGAGGTGGGGTCAGGCATGGAAGCATGCAACAGAATGATGCATCTCAGAGACAAGGGGTGGGTGAGAAAAGATTAACCAAAGAACTTATATGCATACTAGAGGCCCAGTGCACGAAATTCGTGCACTGGGGGGTGGGGGGGGCGGGAGGCGGTCACTCAGCCAGGCCTGCTCCTCTCGAAGTCCGGGAGCCCTTGGAGGATATCTGACTGATGGCTTAGGCCTGCTCCCAAGCCGGCAGTCAGATATTCTTAGGGCTGCTGCAGAGCCACTGCTCTCACCAGACATGAGCCGGGCTCGGGGCTTCTGGATGAGCAGTGCTCCCCCTGTGGGAGCATGCTGACCACCAGGGGGCAGCGCCTGCATTGAGTGTCTGCCCCTGGTGGTCAGTGTGCGTCATAGCAGTCAGTTGTTCTGCCAGTCGATTTGTATATTACCCTTTTATTGTTATATAAGATGTGCATAATCCATGAACACAGACAATAGTGCAGTGAAGGCCTGGGGAGGGGGTGACAGCAGGGTGGAGGGGAGTGCATGGTGGGGAAAAAGGAGAACATCTGTAGTTCTTTCAATAATAAAGATACATTTACAATTATGAACTCAATAAACTTAATTGAGAAATAATTTTTTTTTAAAGGAATACTCCTCCCTTCCCCCCCCAAAAGTGAACTCAGATGCTCAGATTTCAATCAAGTTCCAAGGCATTCCTTCAACTCTACAAATATTGGTTAAATGCTGACGGTGAGCTAGTCTTGAGCTGCTACCAACTAACTTTGTAACCAAGTTACCTCGCTTCTCCGGGCCTTGGTTACTTCAAGGGTTAGGAGAGTTTAATCAGATCATCCCTATGGTTCCTTCCAGCATTACCATTCTATGTGTGCGAAGAAGAACACGGAGAGTTGAAAACTCCCTAGAAATGGCTACATTGGGGGGCAGAAACCACTGAAGGCAAAAAGATTATCACTTATTGAAGCCCAGCTGGAGGTGGGTGCCGCGGTTTTCTGAGAGATATATCAAGCCCACTGCTCTGAGACTGAAAGAAGAGAGGCAGGGATGGCTGGTTGGTAGAAAATGGAGCATCTTGACTGATGCCTCTGCCAGAGCTGGTGGTATCATGAGGTTGTTGAGCGAGATGCACCTTCCCTTAGCATCCTTTCTCTATGTTTCCAAGGCAGGAGAAGGTTGCTCGGGAATATCATGGACCACAGCCATCTCTGTCCCTGCTCACCATTCTTTGTGGTCTGTCAGCTGAAGGGTACAAGGGTCACAGAGGACAGGAGAAGAAGGCTAGCCAAATGCTTATTCTGTGCCATGCTCCCAGCTATGTTCTTAATATTCATTGCCTCATTTGTTTTTCACAACTTTATAAGTGGCAAATCATCTCACAGCTAGGAAAAACAAAGGCACCAAGCATTTATAAATTTGCCCAAGACCACACAGCTGGTAAGTGATGAAACAAAAACTTAAACCTTGGCCTTTCTGGCAACAAGTTCCATCTGGCGTCGTCCTATGTTTCCTGCACCAATTAGGTTGTGGTGATGGTTGCAAGGCTCTGTGAATATACTAGAAACCATTGAACTGTACACTTGGAATGGGCGAAGTTTATAGTATGTACATAATATTTAAATATGCTGTTTAAAAAAAAACTTCAGAGTCCTGGCTGGTGTTGTTCGGTTTGATGGAGTCGTCCTGTACACCGAAAGGTTTCGGGTTTGATTCCCCAGTAGGAGAATGCATGAGAGGCAACTGATCAATGTTTCTCTCTCTCTCTCTCTCTCTCTCTCTCTCTCTCTCTCTCTCTCTCCCTCTCTCTAAAATCAATTAACATATTGATGGCTGAGAATTTAAAAGAAAAAAAAAACTCAGAAAACATGGTCTAAAAACAAAAAACAACAATAACAACAAAACTATAAAGGATTCAAGTTTCTTGAAGACTGAAGGATGATAGCACACAAAGAGGAAAATATTATGTCAAAGATAGTGGCTTGGAAGTAAATGCCACTAGTTTAAAACCCCTAGTGAGTTCAT